GGTTTCAATTTTAAAAATAGTAATCGTATATCACAGTAATTGGTAACGTTTTAATGTAGAAGTAAGAAAATGTAAACAAAAACTTAATAATTCTATAACCATAAATCTATAACCATAAATCTATAACCATAAATCTATAACCATAAATCTATAACTATAAATCTATAACCATAAATCTATAACCATAAATCTATAACCACAAATCTATAACCAGTAAACCAATCCGATTGAAATTTTAATCAGAGTTAGGTGTGGTCATATGTTACATTTGTTTGGTGTGGTCATATGTTACATTTGTGCAGCCGTAACGCAGTGGAAGCGCACATGCTTCAGAAACAAAGAATCCGTGGTTCAAACCCCACCGCTGGGAAAGTTTTACGATATCGGTTTGGAAGGAGGCGTGAACTTTCGATTAAATGCTTGTCCGCGGTGCTCTGTGATAAGATCGTAAGGACTTCTTAGAGCACCTTAATAAAAAAATTAAAAAAAAAAAAATTTTTTTCAATTTTTTTATCACTATATATAAAGTGATAAAAATTTGTATCACTTTATATATAGTGATTCTTATTCTAGAGGTGTTTTTATTGTCACAACTTTTGAATGTTAAAATATTATTGTACGAAGTTTAAAAAATATCCACGTTTTTTTTATAATTTCAATTGAAACTTTACATTACTGTGTAGTTTATTTTAAATATACCCATTAAACAACGCAATAAATAAAACTTTAATTTTAATAACTTCAATTTAATTTACAAAAAATCATGAAATTAACTTTAAGTCATTAAAAGTCATTCTTTTTTATTTTTTTGTATGTATTTAGCTGCTCCCAGAAGTCCTTGCCGGCTTATCATAGAGCACCGCGAGGAGAGCATTTATCAGTAGGTTCACGCATCCTTCCGTACCAACGTCGCTTGTTGGGCTAGAGCTGGCGTCGAACCTCGGACCTCTGGGTTCTGAGCCAGAACTCTAACCACTGCGCCACGGCTGCTCTGACAATTAATTAAACACCAACTTGGAAGTTTTCTCTAATATTTGTTGCGTTATGTATATTATATAATCATGTGTTACGCAGCAATAGTAGATAACTTGCCGCAGAAACAATATTTTATGAATAATTCATCTGTTGTTTCACATTACCAGGAATGAGAAACAACGGCTTTCTACTATCACGACTAAATTCTTTATACAAACCCCGAATATTACCAACTGGTGAAACAAAGGCAGCATCCACTTGATACAAGAATTTGCATTAGTTGGTACTTGGCGAGTTTCCATCATAACGACAACTGTTATTGATATAGGTGCAATCAAATGCATTAACTTTTTAAAGCAGTTGTTTTCATTATTGCTTTTCTTTCTTTTTTAGTGCGTTTTTGAATTCTTCTGCAAAAAGGGTTCAAATTCGTTTTACCCAGCCGGACCATCTGTCAATCATTTGCGAAATGTTTGTTAATGCGTTTCACATATTCAGCTACGTTTTTTTTTTAATTACTTTTCATTTTACTCTTTAAGAACTTTTTTTAATAAAACATTTACCTCCGAGATGCTTGTGATGAAGCTTATATTAAATTGTATTAATAACTTTGCTTTGGTGGCCATAATTATGAGTTGATATTCATTTGTAATAAACAAAGATTGCTGTTTGTAATAAACAAAGATTCAAGTGTTCTTAATATTGAGTGTGGGGTCCTTCAAAGCAACCTTTATTGTTTTTAATTTACATCAATGATATGCATAAAGCATCATCTATAGTATCTTTAATAATGTATGCTGATGACAACTTTATTTTATAATCAGTTTGGGTGCTTGACGATAAGTCTATTTTGTCTTCTTCTTACTTCCGCCGTTTTTTTATTTTACAAATACGAGTTGTAATTATTTTAAACGGCAGATTTAAAATAACAAAAAAATAATAATAATAATAAATAAAAATCATGGTAATTTAAAATCGATTTTCAAAACAATAAATATTAAACTGAAAAACTTTAATCTATGTTTCAGAGCAAATAAATTACCCTTAAACTGTAAAAAAACTAAATCCAATTTATTTCACAAAACAGGTCAATCAATATCTCTACCGTTAAATATTCCGGATTTGCTCGTTAACAACATAAAAATAAAGCGGAAAAAGTATGCATAGATTTTTGGTGTTGATATAGTTGAAAAATTATCATGAAGAAATCATATTGGACACATTTAATTAAAAATATCGTCTGCAATAAGTGTTTTATATAAATTTGCCCATTTCTTGATTTCTGTTCCAGGAAAAAACTTTTCTTTAGTCTAATTTACAATCATCTCACTTATGCTATTATAGTGTGGGCTAAAACTCAAAACAAAATTAATCAAACTACAAGGCTTGCAAAACCATGCTTGTAGACCAATTCATTATCTAAATAGAATAGACAATCCTTCTAATGCGATGACAAATATGAAAGTCTTAAACTTAGAAAAACTTAATTTATATCATATTTATATTTTTATGTTCAAATGTAAAAATAATATGCTACCGATTTCTTTTTTAGACATATTTTCATCACCACTTTCTCAAAGTTATAATTTGCGATCTTTTATAAATTTTTGTGTTTTTCAAACGTGATAAGATTGTAAATTTATAAGACCAAGTGATCATCCAGAAGTCTTGCCAAAAATATATCAAATGTAAATTTGTAGATTTTACTTAAACAAGAAATTAAAAAAAAAGAAGAAAAGAATTAGATAAAATTGTATTTTATAGAACAAATGATGAATTTATGTTCTAAAGAACATGCATATTGTTCATATTGTTGGACCTAATAGCGTACCTTAAAATAAATTATGTAACAACGTAAAGCATTGACATAGTACAAAGAAAGAATCTAAATCCCGTGAATTACTTTTGCTCTTAAAGGTGTTATTATTGACATCAATAACATCGAAAAGCAACGGGTTCCAATTGTTAACAACTTTGTAAGATAAACTTTATTTGCGAATATTTAGTCAAAATTGTTCTTTGTACATCTTATATTTATACACCTCGTGTGTTTTCAAAAAAAAAAAAAAAATACAGATATATCAATTGAGATTGAAGTTGTCTATAATAGGTTAAAATGCTGAGGGTTTTTTATTTGAAACGTTTTTGCATCTTTAAAACTGCTTTTATCAGTTCAATTTGATATGGCAACCGAACTGGGGAGCAATATTCTAATATTGGTCTGATAGATGTAGTAAAGGCTATTACAAAGATAAAAGGTATGCTTTAGTATTAGCTACATTCATAAAGTTTGAAATGTTTTTTATCATTCTGGATGAGAATTCAGAGTTACACCAGTATCATTCGGATTAGAAAATCAAGCTAAAGTATGATCTACTAACTTAAAGTTAAAATTATTATATTTGCTCAATGAAGCAGACGCAATTCTATGTGTAAAACACTTACTACTAGAAATAGATAGTTGCCATGTTTCTGACCATAGTACAACTTTTTTAGGAACATTAACAAAGTGTTGGCTATGATCTGTATTGCGAAAGTAACTTTGATGTCATTGGCAAAAAGCTTTAAAGAGCAATCAACTATAGAGGTTATATCATTAATATCGTTAATATAAAGTAAAAATAAAGTCAAAAGTTGAAAGCCAATATATTTTACATATGTTGTTAAATGTTTGCCTTTTGCAATACTCCAATAAATGATTGGGGTATTGCACTTAATAAACATTTAACAACAGATTCTAAAAGATTTGTTTAAGTAAAACACTTTTGAAGGAATTATGAATGTCACTGTAATTATACAAATAAATTTTAAATATCACCGTTATTCACACTTTTTAGTTCACTTAATTATATTCCTCTCTAATTTTTTTTTTTTAAATCAAATTTTGCATTTTACAGTTATAAAAAAATTATACAGATTAACACGCATTTACTTTTTAAAATAACGAGGAAACTTGAACAAGTGACAGCTTTTTTGCCAAAGTTTTTTTTGTAAAAACATGTTTTTTTCAACAAAAAATTCTGCCTAGATCCAAATAGAGTAAAAATCTAGTAAAGGGAGAGGTGGCATGTTGCACATTACTTGAACACTTGTTAAACAGAGAGTGTAGTGCAGAAAGTTCTGCAAAACACCTTTGTTAAACTGAGACTTTTTTCAAGACAACTAGCTGCAAAAGAGTTTAGTTTAGAAATAGCTTTAGCAATAAAAGGCGGTTTTTTTAAATTTGATTGTTTACCAAGAAATTAACTCTTTTCTCTGAGAAAGTTATCAGATTGAAGTGATAAACTTAATACTTAGAGCAAAAATTATTTGCTTTATCTTTGAGTGACCTATTTATAAGAGATGGAAAGTTAGTTTATCAGTTATGACACCATTAAATATTTTCAAAAAGCATCTAGATCTCTGAGATTTAATGTGAAAATAATGGACCTCAACATCAGGCAATAAATTTTTGAATTAAATTTATGAAATAATAAAAAGATAATTGTTCTTTAAAAAATTCATTTAAAAATAAAGATTGCAATTAAAAAAAGCAGCTGCACAAGATGTAGAAACAGTGATGACTTAAAACTGACAAACAGGAATAAAGTGAAAGTAAAACTAAGTTATCCAGTGTAAGTGTAATCCAGCATTAAAGTCGCTAATGACAACCATGTCGGTATATAAATAAAGGAAAGAGTGTGAGTTTTGAGAAGACAAATAATAAAAAAAACGATTAAACAAAGAGGTACTAAACAAAGACACAATAAGAAAACAGCCAAAATTAATTAATTACAAAGAACAAATCTGGTCTGATGAATTATGCAAGAAGAAATATTAAAAATTGCTTCAAAGTTCATAATTATTTGTAAAAGATTAAACGATTCTGTGGCAATCATGATTAAACTATGGATTGATAAATACAAAAAAAATCAACATAAATTTTAACAATAAATATATTTACAATTTGAATATGTATCCTCCTGAATATTTTATTCAATTTTTATATTCTTAAAATTAATATCTATTAAACTTTCTTTTAGTATCTAGTAATATCTTTTATATATTATACCTATATTTTTCCTTTTATTAATAAAACCTTTGTACACAAAAAATAATTTTCTCTTACTAGAAACTTAACAATCATCTTGACTGAAATACTAAACTAAACCACAAAAAAAATTAGTAAACCGCGAGGCAACAAAAAGAAACTGAAATAATAAACTAATGACTATGTTGAAAAACTGGCCAAAAGCTCTTGGCTTCCAATATCTTCAAAACTATATGCCAAATCAGAAAGTTCATCTGGAGTAGATAGATCATTTAGATCGATATTTAAAACGTGCGTTGGTTGAGTGCTGATTTGATATTCTAACTGACTTTTTGTTAGTTCATTAATTTTTTCGATTTGTTTTAAGAAATCAATGTTATCGTCAATTTCATTCTGCATTTTAATTTTCATTGCAAATTGTGAGGTATCATCTTTAAATAAACTTTGCTCATTGTTGAATTGTGAGGTATCATTTTTGAATAAGCTCGGTTCATTATTAAATTGTGAGTTATTCTTGAAAAAATTTGGCTCATTAAATAAAGAACATAAGTTACGTTTTGCTTTCATTTGATCAAGTTTTCCACTAAGTCCATTAATGGAAGAATGTTGTGGGGTTAACGGATGATAAGCACTAACATTTGTCCTGTTCATCGAGGGAACAGACTGACAACGATTAGCTGCATAAAATTGATTTCGAGCTAAAAACTCATCGGTAGCAAACTTATTAAATTCAATTTCTGAGGGTGACATCATATCTGAGTACCCTGACTGAGTCGCAGAATCATAAGGTTGACCTAATGAACAAATTGAAGAACTGTATGGATGAATAGAAGATTCTGTTGAAAAATCGTATGACCTATAAATTAGGTTAAACAATTAAAAATTTATTTAAAAATAAAGTAACGAAAGAAATTTCAGAAAACTAAAAACTATCAGGTATTAACACTCCCTGTGGGTACAAGACGTATTTTAAACGCCTATAAAACGTAATTCGTTTTATAGACGTCTTAAAGACGTCTTGTGCTTGTTTGGCAGTTTGGAAAACAAATACTAACTGTGTAGTAGAAAGCATCGTTTTTTGAGCAGATAACACATGTCGCTGAACAAAAGGAGATGTATTGATTTGTCGTGATGAATAAGGTGAATTGTTTTTAACAGACTTTTGACGTAATTTTTTAGGAGTTGTGTTGCTTTTAAACGGCGAAAATTCCTCTGAAGAACATTTCTGCGATGCAAAGAAGCATGACTGTTGTTTTAAATTGATATCATGATTTTCATCATTTAAATCGAGCTGGTCTTCAGCTGGAGTTAAAATACTACAGCCGTCATGAGACAAATGTGGAGATAGTATATCAGTTGGGCACGCTTTCTTCGGAGCCTAAAATGCAGCATGTAACTTGCAAATTTAAAAAACTTTATAAAGAAAGCTTTACAATAAAAACTTTTAAAAAGTAACCTTAGAAGTAAAAATAGTTTATTTCTATTGTTATTAAAAACTTTTATACTTAAAGTACTTTTATAGTAAAATCAAAAAAAGAACTATCTAAAAATCTCTGAAAGCTAAATCCAGTCCTAAAGTCTCAGAATTACAACCTCAAAGTATTACAAAGCTTCAAAATTCTTATCATAATTCAAAATTAAGCTATAGAATACATGAATACATAAATTATACAAAAAATATTAACAATAAATTGTTTTGAAATTTAATAATTAGCGCACTCCATTGGGAATCCTCAAAAGAGCTGTTATGCAATTTCTGAATTTTAAAGTAATTGAATTTGTTTGACCTCATCTTATTGCACTTGTATTTATTCTTGATAAGTTCAGTTTATCAATATTATTATTCATAATACTCAGTCATATAACCTTTTTCTAATCATTTTTTCTAAATTTGGCAAACTAAAGTTTATCAGTTGTTTCTGATACTTTGTAACATATATATGTACCCTATATAACTTTGTAACATATATATGTACCCCAATAACATTTTAAGTTTCGTTATGTAACAATATTAGGTTATAATACGTGCAAAATGTCCGCTAATCATACGTGACGTAACATTTTTACGTAACGGGACGAAGTATTACGTAACATGTTTACGTAACGAGACGTAGTTTACGTAATTTTACGTAACGCGACGTAACATTTTTACGTATCGTTACGTATCAAATATCTATTATTTTTCAGTAACAAAAAGTAACATTTTTAACCTTACGAGACCTAACATTGTAACTAGTGGTTCCTTAATATTTTATAACTTTTTGTTTTTTATATATATAAATATATGAAACACAAAATATATATAAGCATATGTAAATAAAAATATACATTTGATGTGAGCGTAAATATAACGTAGATGTAACAATAGTAATAAATGATATAAGTGATATAGCAATAGTAAAAAAAATACTAATCAAACATTACAAATAACAAGCAATAAATACAATAGGTATTGTGGTTTATCCTCCTCCAGCTAATTGCCATACGGATTCCACATTACCAAGGATCACAAAGACAAGTTCAGCTAATAAATAGCGTCATTACCTGCTCTACGGACCAAGAGTAAAGTAAGTTTAGGAAGAATGAAGAACGTTAGAGTAAAAGACAGAAGAAGTCGTGTTAAAAAGATAGCATACAGAAAGCGGACAGGATTGCACACGTTGTTAGAAGGTGCAATATGTTACTATACACATATTTGGCTTAAGCCAATTAATACAATAGTAGATTAAACGAATTTAACTATTTAATAATGGTTTGATACACTGATCATAATACTTTATATATATTTTTGCTTGTGGGTTTATTAAAATTTTAAGTCACCAATTAAAACTGAAGGTTCAACTTTTTTTATAGAAAAAAAAAAAAAATTAAAGCGCTTTCTTTTTTTTTGAAACCCGAGAGAATTTTTTAACTTACTCTAACTTTACTATTTAAAGAATTAAATAGTAAATTTACCATTTAATTATTTAAATAGAAAGTTCGGGTAAGTTAAAAAATACCTCCGGGTAAGTTGAAAAATCTAATCTTCGTACGTTCTTACTTATGTAACTTAATGATTTTATGACAAAAAATCGCGCAAATTAAAACCTAGGAACGTAAAGACCATAAAAAGCATCACCAGCTAAATAAAAAGTAAGCATCAGCCGGCTAAATGCCTATTTTTTTAAGTAGGCATTATCTCCCACACGACTTTCAGAAAAAATCTGATCAGCGATCCTTAAACAATATTTTTAAATATTTAATAATTTTCAGATATAATATATTATGTTTTCTTTAATACAAGGGAAGGGCAGGAGAGGGGGCAGGAACCAAGTTTAATTTTTGGAAAATTTGCCCACTCACCCTAAGCTTCTTAAGACCCCTCCCCCTCCTCCTACATTTTATAATTTTTACTTGTTATCAACAGAAAAATTAAATCTCAAGACTAAAAAAAAAATTCTGTAAAAATTGGCGTTAAAAATAAAAAAAATCATTATTTCAGTTAAACAAAAATCAAAGTTTGAGTGTAAACAGTAAAATTGTCGACATTTATTTTCTCACCTAAGTATAAAACTTATATCAGCTAATAAATCCTATTGAAATTATGAAAAAACAGCTGATAGCAAAATGCGCATTTCACCACAAGTTACGCTAGAATTAAATAGTTTTAAAAAAATTCTGTATTTAAGACGTAATTTAATTGCGCTTTTTTTTTACGTTACATTACGTCTCAATTGGTTGCACTTTTAAAAGTTAAAAAAAAAGCTAGTTGAGACGTAACGTTGCGAATCGATGTCTTAAATTTGAGACAGTTAAAATATGTAACAAATATAGATTTTATTTTACGTTACATTACGTTTTTTTAAAACTTTTAAAAGTGTAACCAATTGAGACGTAACGTAACGTAAAAAAAAATCTGCATTTGAGACATGTTTTAATTGCGCCTTTTTTTACGTTACGTTTCAATTAGTTACGCTAAAATAAAAAAAAAGCCAATTAAGACATAAAGTTGCGAATTGCTAGTTTTTTTCGCGACAATGTAACCAGTTGAGACAAAGCTATTTTACATTATAAAATAAAGTAAATATGGTAATTAGCAATACAGCAATTATAAACAAACATTTACTGTTTTATCAAGTTTATTTAATTAATATTTCGTCTAAAATAAGAGAATATAACCTTGTTGCCAACCGTTACCGATTGAGACGTAACGAAACTAGTAAAATGTTATAAGGGTAAAGGATATATTGAAACAGTTTATAGTAATGATTGTTTTTTCTGTTTAACCTTTTTTACTGTTTTAAATCATTACAAGACCTGAATCAATCATAAATAGTGCAAGACACTTTAAACAATAAGCTATGAAGATGCTTCATTTCTGCTAATCAACTTAAAGCTGTAATAAAGGGCTCCTTGTGGTCCGATAATGCAAACTAAAGCATTAAAACACTTTCCATTTGCAACATGATTCATAATTATTTTACAGCTCTTGATAAAATCAGCCTCTCTGAGAGCTACACAGAGTTCAGGAAACCTTACTACCAGTCAGCCTCAGAACCATTAAACTGAGTTTTAGAGCTCTCATTAGGAGATAACAATAAGAGTTACACAGCCACTACTACACAGCCACTACTACACAGCCACTACTAAGAAGAAACAAGCAAAAATTTATGTAACCCATATGTGGAGTCAATAGCAAAAACATGCATTTGGATAGTAAAATATAACTTGCATTATGCTGCAACCAGGGTTGGAAGCAAACATGTTTTGCCAAATACAAATACAACTACAAATACATTAACTTCAGATTTCCAAATACAAACTATGCAGATTTCCAAATACAAACTATGCAAGATTTCCAAATACAAAATATGCAATTAGTATTATCTGAATACAAATATTTGTCATTTAAATTAAGCAATATTATAAAGATTTTTTCAAGACAAGATTATTAAAATGGTTTACTAAATAGAAGAATGAAAACAAACCTTCTAACAAATATCTCTTAAAAATAAATTTTTAAACTTATTTTAAGTGTTAAAAATAAAAAAAACAACGAACCTCTTGGTGTTTTCTAAAAAAACACTGGCTAACCTAGTATATGGAACTAGTTGCGAAAAAGTACATTTTAATCAAATACAAATATTTAAGAAGTTTTTTTATTAAATACAATACGAATACAAATATGCCAAAAGAAGCCATTTTTACCAAATACAAAAATAAATTCTAATACAGATACGACCTCAATCCTGGCTGCTACATTTACTTATTTATGCACATACATGTGTATATATATATATATAATTAATACATGTGTACATACATAATTAATGCATTTATGCGATTTTTATTTCCTAAGTTATACATACACACATACATGTTGTTGTTTTTTTGTATGTATAATGTTTCTAGAAAACCGAGATTTGTATTCATATTAATGAAAATAAAATAAAATGGTAAATCAAAAACATCTTGATGTTGTATCTTTATTTACACCTTAGGGCAAAACAGGGTTTTAAATTTTTATGTGATCAAAATAAAAGTTTGCACATTTATATTGATTTTAAATCACCAGTGGACAAGGCAATAAAAATAACAAAACTTGTATTTCTTATTTGTGCATAAGATGCTGATTTTAAGTAAATTGTGGACATGGCGACAAACATGGTAAATTATTTCTTTTGTTAAAATAGGCTATTGCACCAGATTAAAAAACTTATTTAATTGCAAATTCAAATTCAAAAAAACTCAAACCTCAAGAAATCTTCTAGTTTCCAAAGGAGACAAAGAAACATTTAAAAAACATATGGATCATTTAGTCTAAGTTGTTTTAAAATTATGAAATTTTTAAATAGTGAAAAAAAACTTTTGCTTTGAATGATAAGATCATTAGAGAGATCTCATTTCTCAAATTTATTGTTTGCAAATACACTAAAAATTAGTACACTAATTTGATTCCTTAAAATATCAACTAAAGATTCTGTCATATGATTTTTTTGTACATTTAAAAAAAAATGATTTTCACTCATTTACTTATATAATAGTATAACTTACACTCATGTATTTTTCTTGTGAAAATTGTTCGTTTGAAAATCCCTTTTGAGTGTGAGGAACAACTTGCACTGTATCAGTTGGTTGGGTTATGTTTTCTTTATCTCTCTCTATGGATTTAACGTTTACCAAAGAATTTATATTAACTCTAAAAAAAAATTATGAAAACATTTATAAATAAACTTTATAAAAATTAATAAACACATAAATATGTGTATATACATATGCTGTGTGTATATATATATATATATATATATATATATATATATATATATATATATATATATATATATATATATATATATATATATATATATATATATATATATATATATATATATACTTTAAGCGCTAGTATATTAGTATTTTGCATAATAAAGTGCAAACATCTAAAAGTGAAACCATTTACAAAAATTTTGCTAGAGAATTCAAAAGACAAAGAAAAAACAAAAAAAAAAAAATACGATCTTGACTTACTTGAAAAAAAAAAAACAATTTGAAACTTGACAAGTTTTAAGAGAAATCATGATAAAACTAAAACTAAATCAAGTGCTTTGTCTAACGATATTAAAGTTAATGATAAAACTTAAATATTAGATGAATTGGATAGAAATTGAATTTATATTCTTGGAGCATATAAATTTATATATGCTCGAAGCGAGATAGCAGTTGAATTAAAAGAGTATTTTATTTTAGCGGGCCAAACTTGGAAAAAAATGATCTATATACTAGTAATTCTTTTGAATTTTTACCTCAAAAATCAACAAATTTTAATTGCATTGAAATATCTTTTCAGGAATTTGAAGCTGAATTTAAAACGATTAAAGCAAATAAAGCAATAGCATTCAACAATATCAACAGAAACATCATTATAAATTCTTACAATTTTATTAAATTTAAAATCTTTTCGTCTTGTGTTTGGGAATTTTCCCTAATCCTTAAAATTGCCAAAGTAACGCCAATATTCAAAGGAGGGGATGCAACTAATCTAAATAACTATCTCTCTATTTCTGTTCTTCCTGTATTTTAAAAATTTTAGGGAGAATTTTATATAGCAAAACCAACACTCATTTTTCTGAATGTAGTATTAACAAGTCATTTAAATCTGAATATACATAAGGAAGTTTTATCAATTTATCAAAAGCTTTTGATACTATTGACCATCAAATTCTTATTAAAAATGGTTTTTTCAAAATGGTTTATTCAAAATGGTCATTTCAAAATGGTTTAAGAGTTATTTAAATAATTGTGCTCAATATGTACATATTGATGCTAAATCACAAAAACATTAATAAACAATACTTGTGGCTTACCACAGGGTTCTAGGCATGGAGCTTATGAACTAAGAACATAAAAAAAATTTCCAACTAGTTCAAAATAAATAAACTTGCAGTAAATATTGACAAAACTAACTGGACTCTATTTTACTCACTTTCCGAAAAAAATTAATACCATACAAAACGCTCTATATATTCATTGATAATATTGAAGCAAAAAGAGTGAAAACTACACTATTTTTAAAAATATAAATTGATGAAAATTTTACATGAATACAGCACATTAGTAATTCAATTATTTATGGTTTGCAAGTCTATATTGCTATTATATTATCTGTCTATATTTGTCTGTCTTTAAAAGTTTTTTTGTAAATTTTTTATTTTTTTATTTAAACCTTATTTTTTTATTATTGCAAAACACTAACTTTTTTATTCACTTCATGAAATATTTAACATGTAAATATGTAACACCTCATTTTACAGATGTTCTCAACAACAAGACCTTACAGTCTTCTATGATTTTCCTCGGTCTTTTTTTTTATACAAATATTAAAAATCTTTTTGTTATTGTTTATATTATTTTATTTTAGCTGGTAAGTTTTATAAAATATTAAATTTAGTATAGAACAAAAAAAAAAAAATTAAAAATAAAAATCATATATAATTGTATATATATAAAATTATATATAATCGTAATAAAATATATAAATTGCTTTAAACGATTGTAGTAAATTAAAGAAATTAACCAACAATGGTTACACCAGAATTTACATGCCATTATAAAATATAGTGTTAATACATTTATTCTAAATCAAGTATATATAGTAATATCCTGCATAAATAGATTTTTTAAAATAAACCCTACATGGCTTGTACATGGGCTTTTTGGAGCCAGCATGCCACTGATTATAACTTTTACATAAAATTAAAAGTTTCATATAAAACAAACTTTACATAAAATTAAATATAAATATATACTCACTCACATATATAACGACTAAAAAACATACATCATTATTTTTATTACTATTATTGCTATATTACCATTATATATTTAATCTACAACAGAAAATTTGAAAATTAGAACAAGTAACCAATCCCTGTTAGATTCAAAACAAAATTTACTTGAGTTTTGCTCATAATATAATATGTAATATTTAAATTAAACTTATTGACTATTTTATGAGCCTTGCTAATTTTTTATTCATTGAGATCAGATAATGATTTTTTATTAATACAATTAATTGTTCTCTAAACTCTAATTATCTAACCAATGATTTTAACTTTTTTTTTTCACATTGTGGCCAATTAAAAGAAATTATACTATTGGCAAATAGAAAAATTTATTTCACTGTTTAATAAACAATAACAATGAACTATAACAACAAATATCAGTATCATAGCAACAAATTCTCTTTATGTAATATGTTATTTTTATGTTGAAAATAGTGTTTTAACTCATTTATTTCAACCATCAATTGATCTTCACATATCTCTTTTAAAAAGTAAAAAAATGAACCCATCTTATTCATTATTTATTTATATACTTGACTTCCCTGATACTCATTTTAATAATAATCTTGAAGAACAGTTTTGACTTTAAAGATTAAAAGATCTTTACATATTATTATAGAGTTTAAAAAAATATTTTAAAACATAATTGGCATAAATTAGACATACAAATAGTTCAATACATTGTAACTTATTAAAATGAAACCTTTTATAGGTTTATTATTTTCAAATGCTTATTATCTAAGTTTCTTATAATTAATTTGACAAAAAATGCTCAGCAATAAACTTCATGAATTACAAAATGACAAAACATCAAAATGTTTAGAAATTAATGAAGAAATTAGCTTATATGCTGAGATGGTAAAGCATTCTAATCATTTAGGACATGGTTTGTGAAATAATGGAATTGTGAAGCACAATTCAACACATTCTGGTTGACAATAGTTGTGATTGGGTAGAGTTGAAATAAAAGTTGAAGTAAAATATTGTAGTTGAAGTAATAACTTCTAAAACCCTACAATCATTTTAATCAGATTAGTAATATCATCAGGGAGATCATTAATAAAGCGAATAAATTCTAGTAGGCCAAAAACTGAACCTTGTGGAAACCTGCTTGTGGGACTATATTTGCACTAGTTGTTGGATATTAGCTTCAGTTGTGGCAATATTGTTTTTTATATATATGGCTACACCTCCAATGTTTTGACCTATGCAATTGCTACAGTGTAGTTGGTAACCAGTGAATTGCGTATCCAATATGTCAGTAAATAAAGTTTCCACTTAAAATTGTAGATCAGAAGCCTCTTTTGTATTTTAATTGAGACCTCCTCGTTTTTATTGCTGTTAAAAGAATATAACTTAGCAGTTTGAATTGTTATATCTGTTGTCATTGTTTTAAATTAAAAGCCCAATAACAGGACTGATGAGGTTTAAGCACTAGATGGCTTTGTTTTGGATGTCGTTGAGGAATTGTAGGTTGATGTAGTTGTCGGATATGCATTTAATTTAATAAGGACTGATTGTGGATGTTGGTGCTGATGTAGCATTAGTTGTTGTTGACATTGAAATAGATTGGTTGCTGTGGTGATTTGATCTTTTTGCTGTTTAGTGATCCAGACTGAAGTTCTCTGGCTACTTGATTACTCAATTATGTTGTATCAATGCACCACACGGTCCCACGGTCCCAGTGCATTTGTGAATTTTAATACTTTTTTTTAATAGGTTCATTTATAATTTATAATCACTCATATCTTTGTGTAAAAAAAAATGTTGCCACTAGACCTAAAGCATTTTAAGAAAATTAATTTTTAACAAATAGTTTTTATCTAACATGAATTTTTAAACATAACTTGGAATATAACAACAACATGTATTTTCAGTAACCTTTATATGTTATCTTGTTTTTTGTTTACCATCTTAAAGTTTTATTTAACATTTACACATAACTTAGTTTTTTGTTTACTATTTTAAAGTTTTATATAACTTTTACATGCTACTTTACATGCTTATTGTTTAATATCTTAAAGATTTATCTAATTCAAAGCATGTTAGCAATATTTATACGTAATTAAACTTTTGGTTATGTATTTTATAGATTTTTTTGTTTTTTATTTTCTCTTGTGATTTTTATAAATACTTTCATACAGGGCCACTCCCAAGCTGACTCAAGGATCATGGATCCTTGATCCTTGAGGCAGATTCAAACTATCTTTTAAGGAAGGAGGAGCAATTTCATGTCTTTTTGATATAGTGGATCCTGACCAATTAGTAAGGGGAATATTTTCACATTATAGGATTTGTGGGCAGGTAAGCGTGCGAATTTTTATATGATTTTTTTTTTAGCATCTTCACTTCCAACAAACAAGCAACCACTATTAGAGTTGCAAGTTATTATATGAGAAAAGATGAAGTTATTAAGCAAGATAACAAGTAAATTAGGTCTATTGTTTATAGAGCAAGATAACAAGTAAATTAAGTCAACTGTTTAAAAATGATTTCATATCATTTTTAAACAGTATGCATAATGAGTTAAATAAAAACAGCATGATGAGTTAAATATATAGAAATGAAATTAATTAATTTCAAAAACAAAGAAGTGGGGGGTGAGCAGATTGCCCCTATTACCCTCCTCTATAGATCTGCCCTTGCATGGAGCAAAATTAAATTGTGTAGCTTCAAAATCGAAATGTCAATACATTGTAAATATGATTGTTTAGACTTTTGAATATTTAGCAAGTATTTAAGATGGTCCTTAAATGATTAGGAGTTTGAAATAAATTATCATGTTGTCAAGTGACCACGCTCTGATATTGTTTTGTTCCACTAATATTTAAATGATGCAATGTTAAAAAGTAAAAAACGAACAAAAATAACTTGATACTTTTTATTAAAATATATTTTGAAAAAAAAATTTATTCCCACATTTCAACTAAATCAACTTTTAGTTGACTTAGAAAAAATATCAGTCAATTTAGTTGACAGTCAAATAAATTGAAAGCCATAACAACACTAGTTATGACTTTCAAATTGTTTAAAATTAGTTGTTATGACTATATATATATATATATATATATATATATATATATATATATATATATATATATATATATATATATATATATATATATATATATATATATATATATATATATATATATATATATATATATATATATATATATATATATATATATATATATATATGTACAGGGGCTATTCTAGGAAAATAATTTGGGCAGCAGTACATCATGTTTGCGCTTGCCATAAGGAAATTTTGCAGAAGCATTGCTGTATGTTAGCATTTTTTTGCAACAAAAAAAAAAATTACCCATAAATAAAAAAGGTCCTCAATTTGGGCGACACTTGAATATAGTCTATGCTAAGGCTTGATGTATGCAATGTATATGTTATAATCATAATTAAAAAAAAAATTATATTTCTAGTCTTTAAAATTAATGTTTTTCAAAATGAGCGAAAAATAATTAAGAAAGGAATAAATTTAAATTTAATTATTTTGCTTTTAAGCGAACACAAAAATGCAGGAAAAAAAATTGTCATATTTTTCCATTATACATACTCTATACACCAACCAAGCATAAACAGCACAATGACTCTACCACCATAACTAATAGAATTAATTCTACTAGTGTATAAATTTTATAGATCATGCTTACACTCAACCTGCCCTGCTTTTCTACCTGCTTTTCTGTGTTTATACTGCAACTTCTTGTTGCCAAAAAAAAAAGTGAAAAAAACTTTTTTTTCAGTAAACTGAAACGCACACATAAAAAAAATGTCATATCATGACATAAAAAAAAAAAAAGAAAAAAAAAAGACCTTTTACTAATATTATTTACTTGCTCTTTTGAAGCAGACATCACAATAAAAGCTGATAATGACTTAGTAGAAGCATAACTTCCAGCAATTAAATACTTGGCTAACTCAACTATGGTAGAAAAAACATGACCAAGAACTTTGTTAGCCCATTCACAAATAACAACACAAGATGCAGCAACAATTTGATCTAATGAAGATCCATCACAAGAACCAATTTTATTGTTTTCCTAAAAAAAAAAAATTATTAATCTAATAATCTTTATTAAATTAATTAATAAGAAAAATAATTTTATAACAAACAATTTCCTTATTTAAACACAAATTTATATTTGAAGTAGCCTGGGTAAATGTTGGGAGTGGATTTTGTATGAGTATTAAATAATAAGAATGCAAAATCTTATGCGTCAGGTTGGAACTTTAATAACATTAAATCATACAAAATTTACTTACCAGATCAAGTGACAAAAAAAAAAAAAAAAAAAGATTTTTTAAGTACAGAAAAACTTTTTCTGTTAAGTAATTAAAGTCATTTCTTCCCCTACCATGACATTAACAAAACTTTTTACTTAAAAACTCCAAAACCGTAACAGATTTAAATCTTTGTTTTGGATTATGGATTTGGGTTTTTGGATTATAATTTATACTTAATTATCAACTAATTTATATTATTCAAATTTGAGTAAAATTATTTTTTTTAATGTTATTTTTATTTTTTTGTAAGATCTATTACATTTTTTCACCTACCATGATATGGCATCACCATAATTGATTCTTCACCTAACATGAATACAAAAAATCGCATATTTGGATTTTAATTTTATTTATTTACCTTAAGAAAAAAATGCAAAAATTTAATATGATTACTAAATAAAAGAAACATTAGTTTTTTAGTTTTATAAAAATTATCCACTAAAGATTTTATCTGAATTAGAACTTTGTTTCTTCTTAAACATCTTTTTTTATGGTTTTTTTTTTTTTTTTTGTCATTTAATTTTTTGCTGTAATTTATATCTGTAAGTGCTTCTGCAGTTGTTCGTTGGAATATATTAACTTAAATTTTCAACTTTTCCAAACTTTTTTCTTTTTTAAATCTTGAATCTTATTGTTTAATTCATTTTATATCATAAATAAAGTATAAAAAGCATATCAAATGAATATTTTCTTTCAATTTCAATTTTCAATTCCTTTGGGTTAAATTACCTTTACTTCGTAAATTAGATTAGCCTAAATGGTTTTTTAGAGAAAATAAACAAAATAAAACACGTTCAAAAAAATGTTTCCATAAACGGTAAGTGCTAACTAGTATATTTTTGTAATCACCTACTGCATCAATTTCAATTAAACAATGTCATGCAAAAATATTTTTTGATAAAATTTAAAATATTTAAAATTTATAAATAAATAGTTTTTACAACTATTTAATGCTTTTAGCAAAAAAAAATTTTAAAAAAACAAATAAACTTTTTTTGACTGTAAAGATTTTCTTAAGAAAGTAATAAAAAATTATTCACGGATAAAAAACATCTCAAAACTATAAAAATAATTCTTTTTAAATATATATTATTACTGAAATAAGTTTGTTTTGTATAAAACAATACTAAAAAAATATATTGAAAAATTTATACTTATTATACTTAAAAAATTTACTCATTTTTTCAAAAACCACAGCTTCTACACGGTAAGGGAAGACATGACCCTACTTAACAAGAAAAAATATTAAATTGTCAATTTAATTAATAATAATGATTTGATAAAATAATAATTTAACTAATATGTAATAATTGAATAAAAGTCAAAAGTTAAAGTCTTTTTTCTGTTTTTTAAGCTTTTATAAAACTATATATATATATATATATATATATATATATATATATATATGTGTATATATATATATATATATATATATATATATATATATATATATATATATATATAAATTTATATATATATATATATAAATTTATATATATATATATATAAATTTAACTTTCAATTTACTATTTATAATGAATTTATTTACATTTAACTTACAATTTAACAAGCAATTAAAAGTAAAACCAGATCATTTAAAATGATTTTGGATACTGCTCCAACCAAAAAATAAAAGAAGTGCTTCATGTCTTAGTGATTTAAGACACTCATCAATTAATTTTAGTCTTAAGTGATTTTCAACTATATATTTACTTTTTAATTAGATTTAGAAAAAAAAAAAAATCATAAGAATGGTAACAAGAAAAATTTGTAAGATGTAAAATCTTGATGGATATCAGATCTTATTGGATATCAGATTTAGTTAGGTATAACCTGTTTAAGATCAAAAACATGGCCTGACCTATAAAAAATATCAATTATTAATAAAAGCCGGTAGAAACATATAATATGAAGAAAATTGCTCCATTGAATATCAAAATGATATGGTCACTCCTTTAGAACTTTTCAAAGAATGGACATGTTGTTTGCACAAGAGACAAAGAAGAATTCAGTACAGAAGATTATTTAGATTACAGTTTTTGCTGCAACAAGATGTACAAGCAAACAAACACACAAGCAAACACATAAGCTAGAAGCATAACAACTCATATAAAAAGGTAAAGTTAACACCCTAAAAAACACCCTTACCCCCAATTAAAACTTATGTGGAATTTTGGGATCTGAGATATTTCTTTAAAAATGAACAAAAAATTTTATGAGGTTTTAAAAGAGTTCTATTTGTATTGATGTTAAACAACTACAAATGGATGGTAAACATAAAAACATGGATTGGATGACAAAAAAGTTTTAATTGAGGAAAGATACTCAAAATTGCATATATTGGAGATATCGTTAGCTGACAATATGACATGATAAGAAATTTCCTACCCATTCAAATGTGAAAACATTCTGCTTGTTTAAATGTGAAAACGCTCACTCAAAACCTATTTATAAGTGACGGATGTTAAAATGATGATAATGATAAAAAAATTTTAAAGAAAAAAACAAGATGATGCTGATTTTTATTTAAAGCAGCAACAATATAAAGAAAGCGATAGTGTATGACAGATGAGTATGCCTAAGTTTTTTGAAACCAAAGCCAAAATTAATGTTGCAAGAAAATTGTGCAAGAATTACAAAAAAAGACTAACGCATGTTGAAAATGTTGTAGAACTGGTTGTAGAACTGGTTTGCCTGAATTCAATTAAATGAATTCAATTAAATGAAAAAGATGACTTAATTGAAATTGATTTTGAAATTGACAAGAAAGAGAAATCAAGAAAGTAAATCTTAATCTTTCTAAAAAAATCTGATAACTAATTTTCAAAAATTTCCAAACCGCAATAATTTCAGCAATAAAAGCTACTCTAACATTTTTCTAATTTTCTAACATTTTTCTAATTTTCTAACATTTTCAACTAATTTTCTAACATTTTGAAAAAGATTAATTGTCAAAAGTTGTGGAAGGTATCATAAAAAAGTAAAAAAAAAACTCCCAAATATGGTAATTGGCAATAAGATACTAAACTTTAAAAAGACTGGGAAACACATTTGAACAGCTTTTTCTGTTTTCTATTCTAGTGCTACAGATACAAAGAAGGGAATTTCTACAAAATCTAACTGGAAGTAACTCAGGCTGATGCAACTCTTGCTTTTTTAGCAATTTGTGATCTTTAATAAAGATAGCAAAAGTGGTATCCACATAAGGAGGTGCAAAGTTAATTGAAGTACATTGAAAACATTGCTCCACCAGTTTTGTCATATTCCAAGCTTGTCATCATAATATCATAGAACTTTTTTTTGTGTAAAATTGTTTAATCTCATTTTAGCTCCCAAAAACAAACTCTATAAAAACTTTAAAGATGCATGGTAGAAAGAAAATAAAAAGCAATTAATAAAAGAACTAGAAACTAAAAAAGAATGCTTGTTGGGCAAAAATTGTAAAGTTGCCACAGAAATTTAGAGAAATGTTATCTTGTTAAGATACAGTAATATTTACAAAATGATAAAATTAATTGCAAATCTGTTAAAATTATAAGATATTATTTTGCATGAAATTTCCTCACATAGTAACCATTTTCTGGTTTGAACAAGCCACCTCCTGGCTTAGATACTCATTCATAAAATCAAGTTTAAAACTACTGTACAGTAGATAAAAAATATTTTATAAGCATGGTTGCCACTAACTTGCAGCACTTAAGAATGCTCTCTGGGACATTATAACAAGTGCATATAATCAGTCTTTGTCAACATATTTGAATTTTAAAGACCTATCATAAGCCTTCTAATTTTTTTTAGAGGTCCCTTAAGACCTTTGAGTATCAGTGGGGTCTCTAATATTATTATAAAAAAAAAGTTTTTCAAAAGTATATTATGTTGGGTCTCAAAAGAAGGGAAAACTATAATAACTTCAAAAATGATCATCATTTTATAAAGAATTATTTTAAATTTCACTGCCTAAAAAATTACATTTGTAACTAAAAATAAAAATATGTATTTTTACAAGAAAATTATTTTAAAATTCTTTTAAAATGCTCCTTTCGAGACCCAACATCAAATAATTTAAAAAACTTTTTTTTATAATATTAGGGACATATCTGATGTTCAAGGGTCTTGAAGGACCCCTAAAAAATTTTATAATTCCAGTATTATTTTATTATATAGAACACATTTAGAGAGTGGAAGCAGATATTTTTTTTAAAAATTGTTTTTTGAGACCCTAACATATAAAATATATATATATATATATATATATATATATATATATATAACATATATATATATATATATATATATATATATATATATATATATATATATAAAATATATATATATATATATATATAACATATATATATATATATATATATATATATATATATATATATATATATATATATATATATATATATATATATATATAATATCATTTAAAAAAAAGATATAGAAAATTTTTACCTTTGATTCTTTTATTTTTAAACCATTGTAACAGTACCTATAAAATAAAATATTATTCTTAAACTATGTTAAACATAGTATAAGACTAATATATATATATATATATATATATATATATATATATATATATATATATATATATATATATATATATATATATATATATATATATATATATATATATATATATATATATATATATATATATATATATATATATATATATATATATATATATATATATATATATATATATGTATATAAATAAAGTGTAATTAAATAGAAAAATACAACTTTATAATGGAACTAAAAGTTTCATGCCTATCGGCAATCTTCAGCCATATATATTATACAAATCAAGAAAAAACCGTTAAAAAAATACAAAATACAAAAAAAGCAGTAGAATGAGTTCCGACGTCAAAACAAAACGAATAAAAAAACGAATAAAAAAGAAGCATAGTTGCAAAACTGCTAATCACCAGTGTCAAATTGGGCAAGAAGAAATTTGTTTTTATGCCGGCACTTAGATAATATTTCACTCTTTTTATTTAACAAATTTGGGTGTTTGCAAAATAAAATTTCGTACTTTTCGTTTAAGCATAAGTTACATCGTTTTGTTACAGGGTTATAGGCATCGCACTGTTTAATTATTTTCCACCTAACAACCGGGTTTAAGTTTTCATCTTTTAATCTCCAAACCTCCTTTGATAATTCAGTGTCATTTTTGTATTTGGGAATTTTAAAAGATTTAATGTGATTAGCATATCTAATTTTAAAAGATGTTTCGCTTATGCCAATGTAAAATTTATTGATGGGAGATTGAACAAGATTGTTTGAGCATACATTAGCTTGATATACTATATTTTTTGTTAAGCATTGGTTTGATAAAGGGCAGGTGTTTTTATCTATGCAATTGCAATTATTTTCAGCTGATTCTTTCTTGTTGTTTATAACATGGCGATTGTGGGCGTTTAAAACGGATTTCATATTAGGCATACAGCTATAACTTACTTTTAATGTGTTTCTGTTAAAAATTTTGTGCAACTTGTGATTTTTAGGGAAGTGCTTATCAAATAATGTTAAAAATATATATTGATCTATTTTGTAAAAATTATTTTTACATTATATTGATCACTCTCAAGTAAACAAGAGGATTTGTATCTCAACCAGATACAATAATAAACAACAATATATATATATATATATATATATATATATATATATATATATATATATATATATATATATATATATATATATATATATATATATATATATATATATATATATATATATATATATATATATATATATATATAATTTATCATTAATTTCTTTTTTAACATCTTCAGTTCCAACAAAGGTGCAATTAACCAATATTAGATTTGGAAGTTACTGGAAGAGAAAAAATGAAGTTTATAGAGCAAGATAACAATCAATAGACAACTTAAAAGATTGCAAATTATTTATCTTAATTTATATGAATTAAAAAAACTAGATGAAGGAAGCGAATTCCAAAGAGTAATTTTCTCATGTGCCATTTACATAAGTAAATGGCACAAGTGACGCTAGTTCTTTAAAGCAGTGTCCATTTTAGCATCTATAACGATGTGACAACGGTTGTAGGTTGGCTGAGAGCCCCATGCTGTAGCAGAAAAGAAATCCTTTTCAAGCCCCTGCAAGCAATCAGAGATTGATGGCTTCTTATCAAGACAACAATAAATGGTAGTATCATCTGCTAACAATGCAACCTTAGATGTGAGAATTTCTAGGAAATCATTAATGTAAGTTTAAAAAAGTATAGGATCAAGGAGAGAACCTTGAGGAACCCCTAAAGTTACAGGATATGAAGCAGAGTGCTGTCCATCGAGTACAAAATTTATATTACGATTTGTAAGCAAGGATTCGATAATCTTAAAGATATTACCTTATACACTGTAGAGGAGAGCTTATGGAGAATATCAGTAATGCCAATAATATGTATGAAAACAATATAGCTGTATAATTTTTAAAAAAGTCTTTATTTTTTTTTTATTCTTGATTCTTTTTTATTCTTTTGAAGGTTTAAGAAAACCTTATTTGTAACAAACATAATTTTGTAATATGCATAGTTTTATAATTTTGTTGAACAGGTGTTTGTGTTTCAGCATCTTAAATATCATGCAATCAAGATAATATGTGAGTGAGTAATGGTATTTAGAAGGGGGTGCTTAATATAGTCTTAGTATATACACTAAAAAATACTTAGAATAAAACCTCAAACAGGTAGAGCAAGAAAAGAAATTGATGAACTATACATACATATTTATGATGTTGGAAAAATTTTGGAAAAAAAGAATGACAAGTGTGTGGACACAAAAATGTGCATGTGGTGTTGTCACAGATGGTTTTGACAAAGTACATAGTAGAAAGGGATTTTTTTTAACATCTTTGCTTCCAATAAGGCTGAAAGCAACTTATATTAGAGTTAGAAGCTACTTAAAAGATTGCAATTTATATGAATCAGGAAAGCAAGATGAAGGAAGCGAATTCCAAAGAACTGATGTTCGAGGAAAAAAAACTATAGGAATGAGTTTTTGAAGCATTTAGGAATAGTCACAGAAAAAGGATGAGACTTAATTGAATGACGAGTAACATGAGAACGAATTTTAGTAGATGGCACAAGAGACACTAGCTCTTTAGAGCAGTGCCTATTATAGTATTTGTAGAAAAAAGAAAGAGAAGCAACATTATGACGATGTGACAATGGTTGAAGGTTGGCTGCAAGAGCAGGTCCAACTATGCTTACAATGCATTTTTGCACCTTTTCTAAAAGAGAAAGGGCATCATTAGAAGATCTGCCCCAGATATGGCAACTATTTCATACAAGGCCGGATTTGATATTTATGGAGATAGAGAATAGAATCCAGATTAAGAAAGTATCGAGCTCAATAAAGAGATGCAACCTTAGCAGCGATAATTTTGCAATGGATTTGATATATGGTTTCCAAGAGAGATCGGAAGTAAGAGTTATTTCTAGAAGATGAGGGTAGATGACTCATTGAGTTACCGTTCAGTGGGGTTCTAAAGAAGTGTGCATTACCGTTCATAAATATAGGAAGATCTAAATTATTGCAATAAATATTAGCTGAAAAAAATTTAGGTTTATTTGAATTAAAGTTTACCAGCCGCTGTGAGCCCCATGCTGTAGCAGAAGTGAAATCCTTTTCAAGCTCAAATGACCCCTCCAAGAAACAGAGAGTGTTGGCTTCTTATCATGACAAGAATAAATGGTAGTACCATCAGCGAACGCCACTTTAGATGTGTGAATATCTGGAAGATGGTTAATGTAAAGAGTATAGGGCCAAGAATTGAACCTTGAGGAACCTCTGAAGTTACAGAATATGAAGAAGAGTGGTATCCATCAAGGACAACTTTTATACTACAATTGGAAAGGAAGGATTCAATAATTCAATAATCTTAAAAATGTTACCTGGTACACTATAAGAAGAAAGCTTATGGAGAAGACCAGCATGCCAAGCTTTATCAAAAGCTTTAGAAATATCAAGAGAGATGACCTTAACCTCTCCACCTTTATTTAATGCACAATAAAAACTTTTAGCAAATCAGCTGTAGAACGAGAAGATCGAAATCCATATTGATGATCAGAAAGTAAGTTATCAGATTTAAGATGAGAGATAAAGTTTTTGTTAATTAAAGATTCAAAAACCTTGATTATGATAGGAAGAAGACTAATTGGACGGTTGTTAGACTAATCAAATTTCTCTCCAGAATTTTGGAAAATAGAGATAACAGATACTGCTTTCCAGCTGGCTGGAAAACAAGACTCTGACAGGCACTTGTTAAATAGTTCTGAAAGTATAGACGGCAGCTCCAGAGAACACTTCTGCGAGACTATAGATTTGAAACAATTGTAGGATCATCAGGCCACATGTGGATTATTCCACATTGTGTGCAGGAATTGCTTGTATTGTTCTTTTTACTTCAGATTCGATTAATTTTTTTTGTTTTGGCTCTGATTTATTATTCATAACACTTGTTACATCAAATAATGGAAAGTTTTTCCATCGCCTGATATGAAAATATAAGATAATGGAAACCTGATACCTGTTTCTTTTCTTTAATTTTTGTTGAATTGTTTCAAATCTATTTCTGGACTAATTCTTTTTAGTTTTTATTTTGTTTTTATTCTTAATCTCTTGAATCTTTAGATTTCTTTAGAAGTAAAAAAATTCAAGAGATTGATTCAATAATAATGGATTAGCCACTTTATTAATAAGTTTATATCATAAATAGTGACCTTATTCATGGGTTGACATGTTGCAATAATTAGGTTATTTTTTATAAGTAACATGTAATCAAAGTTAAATTTTTTTATTATAAAGTTAGTTTAACTTAAATCATTTTTATAAACAAGAAAAATCAGCAAGTCTGTTTTTCAAATTTTCAGTTTTCATAGTCTGGTCAATAATCATTTTCACAACAATGGTCATTTTCATGGTCATAGTCAAAAATATTCACCATAATTATTCAAATTCCAGTTTTCTAACTCAGATAAAGTAAAGCACCATTAATTTTAAGTAAGAGATATCACAAATATTTGGTGACTATTTGGTATTCTGCAACTTTTTTTACTATTTGCTATTTAACAAATATTGCAAAGTATTTGACTGAATATCAAGTACCAGATATTAATAAAAAATAAATAAAAAATAAAAAAAAACATAAATAAGAATTACATATAAATATTATTTTCATTTTTAATTTTAAATATTTAGCATATTTAATACTTAAAATCTATAGGTGGTAAGTTACGAAAAAATTATTTTCATTGTTGGGTGGTAGCAAATGATTGTGAGTTCCTCACAAATTATTCATATTTCCAAAAACAACCATTCACTATTTATAATGAAATCAGTAAATAATAATAAAAAATAATAAAATTTTGACAAAAACTATGACATTTAAAAAAAAAAAAAAGCAAAACAAGCAGCATTATACAAGAGTTTGTCCAACTAAATTCAACAAATATATCACACACCGAATAAATATTGCATGTTTAATGAGAGTAGGCATTATAACTTGCATCCCACGGTATACTCCAGACATATTTGCAGCATTGTCGTAAGACTGATCACTACAATTTAAAAAATCTCATCTTAAAACCTGTTCTGCAATAATTTCATCTACATATCTTTTCATAATCAAAACTGTTGAAAATTATTCCACCATTAGGCGAAACGAATTGAACAGCTATAATCAGTTGGTCTATGAGAGTAATATCTGAATATGAACCGACTTAAACCCTAAAATAGCAAGCAAATAAAAGCTCTTTTAAAATCTGAGATCACGCTTTTTCTCCCATTATTTTAATCAACTCCTTGCATATTATTTTCAATAAAGTAAAATGGATTTTCTTTACTTTTACTCTCATATGCTGCAATGTGATTTTTTAAAAATGGCTCAAACTGAGCAAAAAGTTCTGAACTACCAAACCTGAACCATTCTTATTATATAGAAAACCAAAAAGTTTGTGCCTTGCTATGCAGGACAAAATGAGATTTTTTTTTTAGTAACTCAAATAAATAATGATAAAACATGCTAATGATAAAACATGCTAAACATTTACCACTAAAAAATGCACAGTGAGTCCATCACTTTATCTGAATTTCTTCATAAAAAAAACTTAAAAACAAAAAACTTACTTTGAGTTGCCTCTTGTACCTAATCTTCTAGCTTTAACATTAGGAAATATACACTTCACAATTTTTCCAAAATCAGGGGCAGCTAAGTAGTTGGTCCCTTGAAGTTCAGAATAAGTCCTATAATTATTAAAAAATTAGATTTTTTTTAAAAAAAAAAAAAAAATTTTAATAGCTGAATATTTAAAAACTTTAATTCTTTATAAAGTCTTACTTGTATTTTTCATAGACCTCATATTTAGGAATATTAATATTACTGTCAGTTTCTTCCAAATTGTTGCGAATCCTTAGAGGAATACATAAGTTGAAATACAAAATAAATACAAATAAAAAACAACATAAAAAAAAATAAATAAATGCAAATTAAAAAATTAATCAACCATTGAAATGCTTGAGTCTGATCTTCTTTATTATTTGATAAGTTACAAGCAGGTTTGAAGTTACAGGCAGGTTTAAAGTTGCAAGTTGATTTAACTGAACTATATATATAAATAAATTGAGAGATGCAAGTAACAATTAATAGGTAAGTAAGTATATTCAATAGTAAACAATCTAATTGTATGCAGTTAATTAATGTCAAATTGAAAATAATAAAAATAAAAGTTATATTAAAAAATTAGGAATTTAATTAGCAAACTTACTCATTCGGATCAAAAGGCATCTGAAAATAAAAATACAACTTCTCTATGTGAGTTAAATCTTTAAAAGAATCCTAGATTAAAAAATTTCTGAAGTCAAAAGTTTCATATCAAAAAATAGTTTAAGAAATAAATTATAATGAAAAAAAAAAATCAAAATTTTAAAATAGTTTATGAGTTGTTCTATTAAACTTTAAAAAAACATTTAAAACACTGTAAAAAAATAAAATTTTGTTACTGAATATCACAGTTCAGAATTGTATAGTTTAATTATATACCCAGAGTACTCCAAAAAAGATGTTCAAGTAGTACTCAGAATACTTCAATCAAGACATTTAAGTAGTCTAATACACATTCAGAATATTCCAAAAAAGTTAATATAAATAGTAAGAGAAACAAAAAATTAAAAGAGAAATATCGAGACACTTCATTTCCATTATTCAAAAAACTTGTGGTAAGTTATTTTTTTCTTATTTAAAAAAACTAAATTTTTTGAAAAAGGTAACGTTTATCAAAAAATGTTTTGTATTTATAGATAAACATCATTTGAATACTCTTGTTTGTCTAAAGTTTATTGAAAAATATTTTTTAAGAAAAGTATTCATTTTTTAAATTTCATTAAATATATTATATAATAAATACTATGGCTACTCTCTCTAAGATAATAAATAAAATATAATAAATACTTTTATCCTACTCCACTCTCTAATCAAGGACAGGGACAATCAAGGACAGGGACAATCAAGGACAGGGACAATCAAGGACAGGGACAATCAAGGACAGGGACAATCAAGGACAGGGTCGAAATTAGCAATTCCAGAGAAACATACTCAGGGACAAACACATTACTTGTTTTATCCTGTAATGAAAAACTTAGTGAGAATCATTACTACATGACAAATATTGTAGTGCGATTAAAATTGGATGAATGTAAGTTCGTTAGCTTATTAGTCATTGGCTTCTGACATAAAATCATCTTTGAACTATCACTATGAATTCTATTCATCTGAATAATCTCCAATTAAAAAAATTAAAAAAGGTATCAATAATTAAGTACAATGTATATTGTATGTAAATTTAAAATTTATCATTTATTACTAAATTATTATTTTTTAAAGGACTATTATTTCTACATATTTAGAAATTATCATTTCTTTTTATTTGAAATGTTATCAATAAATATTTGCTCAAGATGAATGACAAATCCTTAAGTAAAATAAGAGAAGTTCCATTATTAGAGCTTCACCTTTTGATGGGATTTTTTAACCATGTGGCATCATTTATAATGCAATTTTGGTCTGGATTTACTGATTGTTTCAAGAGCATTGGATGCCTTGGCAAAGACTGCCATGATGGAACAATTAAAAGTAACATAGGTATAGAAATATTTAAAAGTTATGACAAACTTAATAATGCCTGTTGAACTGTATCCTCTCTTGAAAACAATGAAATTTTTAATAAGGTTGTTTATGATGTACTTGCCTATAAACTTGACCCAAACTATTTAGTTTTGATTAGAAGTTTTACACAAATTTACAAGAATGTGTAAGACATTTGCAGATAGGTAGTTGTTGCATTCTTTAAAAAATTCAAGCTAAGTTATTGATAAACATGTTATTGAACAACAAATTTATTTAGCTTAAAGGTAAAAAAAGCTTTGATAACCAGATATCCAAGTCTTGCCATTCCAAGATGAAAATTGTAATAAACAGTTTTGCAGTCTCACAGTACATTAACAAACATAAGGAAAGAAGCAAAAGAATTGCTGAAGACTTCAGGTAAGTAATAAGCTATTGAACATACATAAGGCAGAAAATGCTAACATTGGTAAAACCTTAAGTTAAAAATTTGTAAAGACATAAAAAAAGACAAAAAAATATTAGTATAAATGATCTATTTTTGTAAAACTTTTTGAAGATTTTCAAAAAGCGTAAAAGATATATTTGGTGATAAAAAATTATAGAATTTTACCTAGAGTTGTTAGTCCTTAGCTTTGCATTAAGGCCATAAATTAAGACCTTGGCCTTGACCATGAAACTTTTGGCCTTAATTTTGATTTTTTTGGCCTACGCTTTCATAATAAAATACATAAAATTAAAGAATTAAAAGTTTTCTACCTTTATTTTACCTAATTAATTACATAATTAATCATTCTTTATTTTACATAATTACTTTTTTAACGTAAGGTAAAAATTTAAGTCTTTGGTCTTGAAAATGTTGCATAGGCATTGACCTTGAAACTCTTTTTCTTGGCCTTGTGACTTTTGGCTTTGTAACAACTTGTCCTTGTAACTTTTGACCTTGGCCTTGCTACTTTAAGCCTTGTTAACAACTCTGATTTTACCATATATTGAATAGCAAAAAAAGGATTTAAAAAATACATAATCAAAATGATCAGAATTAATCAAAATTAAAATGTAAAAATTAGTAATAAAATAACTTATAAAAAAGTAAATTATAAAAATAAATTATAAAAAAAAAATGAATATTTAAAAAAAGAAGTACAACAAATTAAAATCACATTAGTGTAAATTATTTACAGGAAGTTTAAAGGTTTAAAGCCATTAGGATAAATCACAGAGATGGTTTTAAAACTAAATCATAAAGAACAAGTGGTTTAAAATTAGCAATCACTAAAAAAAAGCAAAAAATATATTAAATTCAAATGGATGAAATGCAATGAAACTATAGATATACATTTTACCAAGAATAATTTGGACCGATTTTACAACAATCAGACATAAAAAAGTAAAGGTTGGAAAGTTACTTCGAAAACAATTTGGTAATCTAAAGATTTAAGATGGTTAAACTTTTTCTAATAAATTCATGATTTTTAGTCTAAAGTCAATTTGAACTTGACTAGAGTTCAAACTGACTTTAAACTAAAAATCATTATATGATTATATTAGTGTATCATTAAATCATTATATATCTAGCAAAATCTCTTCGCAAATATAACTCTTTGCAACCGAAAGCCCAAAATAGGGAGAACTTTATAGTTTTTTTTTAGATTTTCAAATTAAAAATGACAAAAAAGTTCAGACTTTCAAGTTGTTAGGTAATTGAAATAGTACTTTGTGCCAAAAAAAAAAAAATTAAATAAATAATGTGAATGAATACACTAGGAAAAAAAGAATAATTAATTTGAACGTATTTTAAAATAAAAATTTTAAGATTTACTTTTTTAATGAAGTCAAGTGACAATTTGAAGCGATCAACAAGCAATTAATAATAAACAACTTTTAAAAATTGCTTAGATTGCATCACTAAAGCGAATACAAAAAAAAAACTGTTTAATAAAATTTAAAAAAATTTACAAACAAAAATAATACTGTTAATCAAAGCTTAATGTATGGTGTTAACAACAAAATGATCAACTTGTTAATAAACAAATTATAACAACTATATTTACAGAAGAAATTAAAAACCAAAAACAAAATACTTACTAAAATAGACTTTACTTTGGATTGTTGACTTGAACTAAATTAATATATATATATATATATATATATATATATATATATATATATATATATATATATATATATATATATATATATATATATATATATATATATATATATATATATATATATATATATATATATATATCCCCCTAGTATATTTTAAATAAATTTATTGTTGTTGTTTTTATTAATTGGTTCTATAGAAGCGTTTGTCTTGTTTCTTAAGTAAAAGATAAAAATTCTTAAGTAAAAGTTAAACTCCACCATAAAAGTGTTTCACTTAAATTTTTTCTCTATGCAGCACTCAGTGTTGCACCCATACTATTATTATTATATTAAGTTAAAAAAAAAACAATATTATTTTTATTTTAATATGTTTTATTTCAGATTTTTATATTTAACCTTACTTTGCATTAGTTATCATATAAATCATAAGTTACATATTCATCATTTTTTTTACTTCAATATTGTAATAAAAATTACATTGAGTTGCATCTGAGATATATTATTTTTTTTAGTCACCACCCTTTTTATTAATGACTTTTTTTTTCTATGACTTTTTTTACACTAAGTAACATTAATATTAAATTAAGTTTGAGTTCTGTTTCTACTTCATCCGCTATTTTTTATTTATTTTTAAATGCAGGATTCACACAACATCAAAGATCTGCAATTATTCATGGTTTACTCTCAACATTCTTTATTATCAAAATTTTTCTCCTTCATTAATCCTAGTTTTGTATTCTCTGGATGAAGAGTATAGCAAATATTTTTTTTATGCATACAATAGCATATTTTATATGAAAAAACAAAACAAACTATCTTTGAAAAGGTTACAAACTTTATAGTTTGTAACATTTGTACTGAACGTTATTAATTAAGTATTAACAATATTATATTAATAATAACGAACAAAAATATAAATGAGTGAAAAAGTAAACAACTTAAAACCATGCAGTTAGTGATAAATTAAAAAAACAAGTTTTATATATTTTTTACATATTGTTGTTAAACAAGAATGTATCAATGTTAAGCGTCTTGGAATTTGTTAACATTTTGAGAACTCTTTTAAAAAATTAAAATTTGCAAATACTGTTTAGACCTATTATTGTACTATATCATTCATTAGGAATAAAATGAAGCTGATGGAATTTTATTTTCAAAAAGGATAAAATTTGGTAGTTATTTGATGCTTTTTTCAACAAATTATTTATTTCCCTCCTTAGAAAGAATGGTCTAAAAAACTTTATAAAAAGCAGTTTTTACTCTCAAATTTATTTTCAAAAATCGAACCATCTTTCTTTGACACTAGTAAAACACATAAAAGTTAGCAGTTTGCATCATATCAGGATTTTACTTTTTAAACACTAAAAAATGGCAAAGACCTTGTATTGTCTGTATTACCTTAAACCAGATTCACACTTTTTCGAATTTTCATTTGTATCTTTACTTTCTGCCTGCATGACATTTAATGATTCGTTACTCTTTTCAATTATAGGAAGATAATAACTTAAATCATTGTAACCAGTGCTTGTCTCTCGAGTTTCATAACATGTTGGTGTGTATTTTCTTTCACTTAAACTCTCTGATCCAAAATTACTGCAAGAAGCTTCAAGTCCAGCATTTCCAACTTGATTATTTAAATCCATATTTATAATTATGTCACTTTATAACAATTGAAAAAATTTAAGTCTTTGGAAGATTAAATAATATTCTTAATATCTTTCAAAGTTTAGGTTTATTGATAACGATAAAATTCTATTCACTTTCGAAATCAAACCCTATTTCAAATCAAACATCCTCATTGGTTAAGTAGTTTTAGCTTTAAAAAAACGATTGGTGGTTTTCATTACGCGGTTTAGTTTAAAAACAACTGTGTTTTATATAATAACGCACGTGCGCTTTTCAAATTTGTTTTATAAGTATAAAAATACACGGAATTATACAAAGAGTAATTTAAACAAAAGAATATTTTAAAAATAATAATTTTATGCAATAAAATAAAAACAAAAGAAAACATCAAAGAAAAAATGGAACCTGAAAATAAGTAGCAACCTAAGTGAAACTTAATAATATAAGTTGTCATTATAGTCGTTCCAAGGAGGAAGAAGGGGGGGGGGGAAGGCGCGTAGGATGGTGTCTAATCCCCTTAGGAAATTTTCTTTTTTTCTTTCAGATCTTGATAGGGAAAAAATGTTTTCTAGGCTTTACTCAGCATTAACAAATACCTCATCCTCTCCAATTAAAAACTCTTCGGGACTGCCCTGGTTAGCACAGATTCAGTTTAAAAGCCTGTTAAAAAAGCAAACTAAAATAATAATTATATAGAGATAAATTGTATATAATAATAGTGATAAATTGTATATAATAATAGTAATAATAGTGATAAATAAAGAGTGCTCAAACACTGATAAATTATTACTTTAAAAAATACATGCGTTATAAACTTAACTAAAATTTTATAAAATCTTAAGAGTCAACAATTTTTCATATGGAATTTTCTCAATTTTCAGGCGATTTACTGGATACTTATGAATTAGTGGTTACATTTTGTGGATACATATGTATTTGACAATATTGTCAAAAAGATTTTTTAGACGATGTATTGAAATGACAATGAAAAACGATGATTTGTTTTGAAAGTATCAGAAAGTCTTTTTATTTTTTATTTTTTATTTTATTTTTTATTTTTTTCTTCTGTTTACATTTGCCGTAAAATAAATACTATACTTTACAAGAACAAAGAAAACAAGGCTTCTGAAAAAAGATCAATTGATCTTATCATCAGAACCTTTACAATTTTATCATACTATAAAAACTGAAAATATAAATCCAAAAAAAGGCCGTATTAATAAATATATAATAATAAATTCATAATAATTCTCGCAAATCTGTTATAAAATTCCATAATAATAAATTTTATAGATCTGTTATAAATTAAAGAAAATAAATCTATTAATATTAGTATTACTATAAATCTCATAAATCAAGTTTATACTTCAAGTTAATAGTAACTTAAAATATCATCCATAGCAAGAATAAAAAATTTTAATTCATTTTTAAAAACAGAAAAACGGATAAAAGGATCAAAATTAGGCAGAACTATTTTATTCCAAAGGTAAGGTGCTCGATAATTAATACAAAATTTAATAAATTTTGTTCTACAAAATGGTTCATTTAGCAAATCTTTATTTCTTAGTGAGTACTTATTAGTAAGTTTATATGTAAAAAGGTCGTTAAAAACAGGTAGGGATAAATTGTTTTTCCACATATAAGTAAAGCATAAAGCATTGAAAACATTAAGTTTGTATACATTAAGTATTTTCATTTCATCAAAGAAAGGTTTTGAATGTGTAGAGCGATCCACATAATTAATCACCCGAATCGCATGTTTCTGTTGGCGATATAGACGTTGTATTTTACTTTTTTCGGTACTATCCCATTCAATATTTGCGTAGTTTATATAGCTGTGTATGAATGAGTAATAGAGCTGCGTAAGGCTTTTTTTGCTTAAGTAAGGTCGGGTTTCATACAAAATGCCAATATTTTTAGATTTTTTTTTTTTTTTTTTTTCAGTTTACAATTATTAATCGTAATGTAACAATATAACAATATATAAACTTGGTATCTGAAAGAAGATCCAAATGATCTTGTCGCCAGAACCATATAAAAGATATAATACGTGCATATATAATAAAATAAAATACAATTGATCAAATAACTAATAACAATGTAGAAGAAACAAAAACTGAAAATAATTTTACAAATTATCAAGAGTAAAAAAAAAAGAATTTTACAATTCAAAAATATTTATATATATTGCCAGTAGAAAGAATATAGTTTTTTAATTTAGTTTTAAAAACGGAAAACGAAATTGACAAATCAAAATTTGGAACAACAATTTTGTTCCATAAATACGGTGCTCTATAGTTTATGCAAAATTGATTAAACTTTGTTTGACATAAGGGTCCAATTAATAAATTATTATTTCGTAAAGCATATTTGTTTATAGCTTTATAAGTAAAAAGATCTTTGAAATTGGACAATGGTCGTTCATTTTTACAACGAAACATAAAACATAAAATATCATAGACATTGAGTTCGTAAACGTTAAGTGCTTTAACGTTTTTAAATAAAATATTTGAATGAGAAAAACGATTTTCGAAACATATTAAACGCATTGCGTGTTTCTGACGATGGTAAAGATTTCGTAACTTACTTTTAGAGGTACTTCCCCAAACAATATTTGCATAATTTATATAGCTATGAATAAACGAGTAGTAGAGTTGAATTAAATTTTGTTTACTTAGATAGTATCTGACCTTATATAGAATTCCAATACTTTTAGCCAATTTAGTAGAAATATAGTCGATATGATACTTCCATGTAATATTTTCATCAATGTAAATGCCTAAAAATCTTGTGACCGACTCCTTTTTTATTTCAATTTTATCAATAAAAAGTTTAGGCAATTTATTTGGTAAAAAACGCTTTTTAGCAAGAGAGTGGAAAAGGATCCACTTTGTTTTGTCAATGTTTAAAGTTAACTTGTTGCACTTAAACCAGTTGGAGATCTGGTTGAGTTCTTTATTCATATTTGAAAAAAGCTCATAAATACTACTGTTTGACAGAAATAAATTAGTATCGTCCGCAAAATTTATACTCATAAGGTTAGAAGCTTTATTTAAATCATTTATATAAACTAAAAACAAAAGTGGGCCTAGAATAGAGCCCTGTGGAACACCACATTTTATGTCAATTAATATTTCATTTTGAAAATAATCTCCATAGAAAACAAATTGTTTTCTATTTTCCAAGTAACTTTGATACCATTTTATTAATTTGCCATTAATTCCGTAAAATTTGAGTTTTTTAAGTAGAATTTTGTGATCGACCGTGTCGAATGCTTTTGATAGGTCAATGAAAATACCTAATGTATATTGTGATCTACCAAATGAATCGGAGATTTCACGAATGAACTGTGTAATGGCTTGTTCAGTTAAACAATTTTTTTTAAAACCAAATTGATTTTTATATAGAAGTTTATTTAGATTAAGGTAATTGTATGTTCTATTGTATATAATTCTTTCTAAAATTTTTGAGAAAGTTGAAAGAACTGAGATAGGGCGATAATTACTAATATTTGATTTTTTTTCCGTTTTTGTATATAGGAGTTACTTTAGCTATTTTTAATTGGTCGGGGAACCTTGGTTTTTATATGATTAATATGGTTTTTCCAAGTAATATTCTCATCAAGATAAACACCTAGGAATCTTATAACAGAATCTCTTTTTATTAGAATTTCATCAATATAAATTTGAGGCATATTATCTGGTAAAGAACGTTTTTTAGAGAAGGAATGAAAAAGAATCCATTTAGTCTTGTTAGTATTTAACGTTAACTTATTACATTTAAACCATTTAGAAATATTTATAAGTTCATTTTTAGTTTTTGAGTAAAGTTTGTAAACTTCAGTGTGGGATTGAAATAAGTTAGTGTCATCTGCATAAATAATACTCATCAGGTTAGAGGCTTTGTTTAGATCGTTGGCATAGATAAGAAATAGCAGCGGTCCAAGAATAAAACCTTGTGCAACACCACAGGTTATATTTAAGGATCCACTTTGAAAGAAATTATTACTATAGACTACTTGCTTACGATTTGTTAAATAGCTTTTAAACCACGCTAAATTTATACATTATACATATATATATTATTCTTTAAACCGTAATATTTCTTTTTTTGTATTAAAATATTATGGTCAATCTTATCAAATGCTTTTGATAGATCTATAAAAATACCTAATGTATATTGAGCTTTTTCAAAGGATTTGGAGATGTTGCGTATAAATTGAATAAAGGCATGCTCAGTTGAACTATCTTTTTTAAAACCGATTGATTGTTGTTTAGTAGGTTATTGTAATTAAAATAACTATTAACTCTGTTAAACATAATTCTTTCTAGGATTTTGGAGAATACAGATAGGATAGAGATGGGGCTATAATTATTTATATTGGATCTGTCGCTTTCTTTATGAATTGGAATAATTTTAGCAATTTTTAAGCGCTCAGGGAAAATTCCTTGATGGATGGATGCTTTGAAGATTTTAAAAAGAATATTTTTAATTTGTTCATAGCAATCTATAACTATACTTCCGTTTATTTCATCAGACCCAGATGCTTTATTTTTTTTTAAGATTTTAAAAGCTTTTTCAAACTCTTCGAAGGATAATTCGGACAATAGTTCATCAGAGCAAACGCCTTTATCAAGAGGTGCTAAAAAATCATAAAAAGAAGTTTTGGTAATTGGAATTTTATCTGATAGGGTTGGACCAATTCCAACAAAATGTTTATTAAACTCATAAGCTATAATTTTTGGATTGTATAAAATTTTGTTATCGATTTTAAGCATGTGTGGCAAAAACTTGAGCATGTTTTTTGTTTCCTAATTATTTCTTTTAGTATTTGCCAAGTGCGTATTACGTTATTTTTTGTTTTATTAATCAAATTTGAATAGTAGTTTTTTTTTAAACTTTTCCGGATTTTTTCAAATAAATTTTTATATTCTTTGTATTTTTTTTCGCTTGTAGGAGTTATTTTTTATGATTTTGTTTAGTTATGATTTTGTTAGGTTTTTTATCTTTTTGAAAAGATAAAGAAATTTCTACTTTGCCAAATTTTATACTCTTTGTCATAATTTCAAGATTTCATTTTGTGTCTCACGTTGGTTGGCCACAGGTT